GCATGTGTGTGGTCTTCTAAATTCCCAGAACTTTTCAAAGCCCTCTATAGACATCTCATTCCCCACAATATTCTTTTTAGATATTTTTGGCCCATTTGCCATTTGGCCTGGTTGGTATTGCCTCAAGCAGCTATGATGTTAAAAAATTTTCACTGATTAATTTGGCAAATGCCCTGATGGTGAAAATATTCTCGCTGAACTGAGTCAGGTCACACTCCGGACAAAACTCCAGAATGGGACTTTCTTTAGTCCCTGACAGAAAGGTTAAATAGTAACAGGTATTTCTTAGGAATGTCTCACTTCTATTCTGCTCCCCCACAACCCCAGTGACTGAGGCTTCTGGTTGTCAAGGGTATAGCAGAGCTAAAGACAAAGGAATAGAATCAGAACACTACAAGGTTCACCATTCTTACCACATTGAGTCATTTTTCTTAAATAAATATGCTCTTTGAATTGTTAAGTCTCTAATAAGTTTTCATAGTTGTATAAAAAAGTTATTTTGACAATTTTTACTAGTGTCCTTACTGCTTTTATGGAAGAACAGATTTTCAGAGGTCTTTGCTCCATCATTCCAGAAGTGCTTTTTTCAGTGCTATTCCTTTAACTTAATCCCATTTGCTCAAATCACATAAGTTTAAAGAAAGCTCTGACAGCATATAATGTTAAACCAGAAAAGAAAATGAGATTTGAAAATACTAGGTAGGGAAATCTTTATTTCTAAAGTATAGAAGAGAAAAAAATGAGAAGGAAAAAGTACATGAAATAATACTTTAAGTAAAACTTCATTTCAATCCAGAAAGTATTAATTATATATTCATAATTACTATATGCCTTTAAGGAAATCATGAATTGAAAAAACTGTAATAATTATGAAAATTTAAGTTTTGGTGAAACTTCTACTTTGAAGAAAAGCTGTGTGATTAATGATAAAACCAAGTTTATAGAGAAATTAATGAGTTGAAATACTGGTTAAAACTGTCATGTATTTAATTTCTCAGAAATTAAGGCTAAGTTGACTAGAAATCAGTTAAAAATTAAAAACAATGAATTCAGCAGTTCTAGAGAATCATCTTCACTAATCATAAAGAACTTCAAAATCTTAGATGCAGATCATCTTCACTGCAAAGCCCCAAAGGTTTTTCTGCCTCTACCAGCCAGCTGCTATAGCTAGAAGAGTGAATGCAGGGATCCTGGCTTTGCCCTCCCTCTTGCTTCAGACTGATAGACTGAATCAACCCAATTTTGAATTAGCTAACTTCCATACTTAATCAGAGTTCTCCAGAGATGCAGATCAAATAGAATATGTTTAAGAGAATATTATTATGAAATGGCTGACACAGTTAGGAGACTGAGTAGTCCCACAGTAACCCGCCTGGAAACTGAAGGTCCAACAAAGCCAGTGGTGAATTCACTTTGATCCTGAAGACCTCCAAACTCTGGAAACTGCTGGTAAAGTCTCAGTGTCCAACGATTGGAGATCCAAAAGCCCCTGTATCCAGGGGATGTCCAGTTTAACTCTCCAAGTCCTTAATGTATTAAATTATGTCTGCCTTCATTAGTAAAGAGGATCTTCTTTATTCAGTCTGCTGCTTCATGACTAATTTCACAGACACACCCAGAAATAATGTCTTTCCAGCTACCTGGGCATCCTCTAACCCAGGCAAATTGACACGTAAAGTAATCATAATAGTACTATTAAGGAGAGGCCCTTTCTGAGACTGCTGCCAGTTATACCTATAACTGGCTCCCTTTTCTGTGTCTGGATGTTAGACTTAGAACCTCTAGAAAGTCCTGAGGCTAGGCCACTCTTGGTGCAACCCAATGAAATCAAAAGATATCAAAGACTACCAGATCAGACCTTGGAACCAAACAAAGGCTGTTAACCCACCAAAGCCTCCACTCAGCCACCTTCTGGGTCTTAAATGTTAGTCATAGAAACCTTGAGCAGGCATGGCTCAGTTTTTCCCCTCACAGTGGAACTCACCTAGATGCATAAGCTCTAGGGATAGTAGCAGTCATGTACCTGGGAAGGGGAAGCCTCCAGTCACAGCTACCTGCTTTGAAATACCTGCCTGCTAACCCTTATCCCCATACTTTGAAGATCTGGATGCCCAAGCCAACTGTTACTTCTGATTCCATCCAGACATAATCTAGGTTATAGATTTTCATGTAGATGTTCCAGGCAGAAGTAACTATGTTTTGGCCATTCTTAGGAGAACGTCCTTGGAGCCAGGAATGCTTTCTAACCCTTTTCCTCACAAACCCTGCCACCTGCCAACACCATTTCCTACGAAAAGGTCGCAACTCTCCACTTTCTGTGGTCTCTTCCACAGCCTTAACTCTGGCCTAGAACCTTTGGGAAGGTCTACCTCTGTGTAGATTGCCCCTGGGAAAACCCTCAAGGCTCAAAAAGCACTGTGAACTACACCAACAAATACTTTTAGTCAGAATTATCAGTAATAGTTAAGCAGTTAGACAAGTGAACACATTAATATGATTGTATTAGGTATAATAGATTATATAGTATAATATATAGTATTAATGCTATATTAGCACAGCATAAATATATAATATATTAATATAGTATTAATATATAATTTAGTATTAATATATATTAACATATGGTATTGATGTATATTAATAATATGTGCTATATAATAGATTATGTAGTATTATAGATTATACACAGATTGATAAATGTGTCCTACATTCTTGCAACCTGCACAAACTTGTCCTAGAAACCTAATTAGAGATGATGGAAAATGCAAAAAGGACAACAGACAGAAGACCAAATATGCACAAAGCTGGGGCCAGGTAGTCTGGGTACTCAGATGGAGACACACCAACACCCCTCACCTCCAATGAGTTTATTATATACTGTGGCAAAATGAGGTGGAGCAGCAGTTGTTGGAGGAGGGTGCATGACATTGTAATTCTCGGGAACAGGAGGAACCTGTGACTGCTTCTCTCTGAATGTAAACATCTTAGGAAAAATGGGTACTGCATCTTGCCCACTTCTGCAGCTGGGACTGTGCCAGCTCAAGCCTGAAGTTTGTATGATACAGCTGTGCTTATGTACTTTGCTCGCCACACTACATAGTAAAAAAAAGAAAGTCAACAAACATATTTAGAGATGATTGCTTTATTTCCCTGTCTTAAGGAGTAAAAGAAGAATACTAAAAACAATTGAGAGGCAAGGCATGTAAATAAGATAGAGTAAATAAACTGTATGCCACTATGCATAGTCTATCAATGATATGGATACTGATGAGTTCCACAAAACTGTCGTCTTTGTTTTATGAAGTAAAGTTGTGATAAAGTCCCAGTAGGACATATTGTTATTATAAAAGTTACATAAAATTAAATTTTTCATGTGATACATATAAACCATGTGTTACTATTAAGCCATATAAAAGGATAAAATCCTGTTATTTATGTCAATATGGATGGAACTGGAGGACTCTATATCAAGTGAAATAAGCCAGGCACAGAAAAAGATAGCACTACATGATTTCACTCCTCTGTGGATTCAAAAAAAAAAAAAAAAAAGTTGATGTCTTAGAAATTGAGAATATAATGGTGGCTACTAGAGCCTAGGGAGACTCTGGGGAAGGAAGGAATGGGGAAGAGGATGGTCAGTAGATACTGTTATAGTTAGATAGGTATAAGAAGTTCTGCTATGCTACTGCACAGTAGGATGACTTTAGATAATGATAGTGTACTATATATTTCAAAAAGCTAGAAAAAAGCGTTTGAATGTTTTCACCATTTAAAAAAATGATATGTTTGAGGAGATAAGTTTAACCTGATGTAAACATTATACAATATAGACATGTATCAAAATATTATATGATATCCCATAAATATGTACAATTTTATGTTTTTATGTATTAGTTAAAAATAAATTTAAATTTAGACAAATTAAATATTTCTTTTTCTGTAGAAACTAATCAACAGGCTGGCCATTATGTTTCCAAGTTATTATGACTCTTACATGTAAATAGACCTATTAACTGTAGGTTCCAGGTCTCTGTCCAGTGAGTGATAAGGTAGCTAAATATCTACAATCCCAGGTCACAGAAGGTCATCCTTCTGTTGTCATTTGCCTCTTCTATCTGTCACTATATTAGTCAAGGTTCTCCAGAGGTACAGAATTAATATGATATACATGGGGGTCAGAGGATTACAGAAGGAGATTATAGTCTCATGTAGTTATAGAGACTGAGCAGTCCCATGACAGACCATTTAAAAGCTGGAGACTATGGGATGCCAGGAGCATGACTAAGTTCAAGTCCAAAGGGCTTAGAATCAGGGAAGCTGATAGTGTAATTCTCAATTCAAGACTCAAAGCCCAGTAACCCTGGGACTCCTGATATATGTCCTCCAAGACCAGAAGACCTAGAAAACCTATGGTATCCAAGGGTAAGAGGAAGACAATGTCCCATTCCCAGGAGAGAGGGAAAGACCAAGTTACCTGTACTTCATTTTATTTTATTTTATTTCATTTTTTGTCCAGGCTGATTGCATGGTACCTACCCACATTGAGAGCAGCTCTTCCCCACTTAGTCTACTCAGACTCATGCACCAGTGTCCTGGAAACACCCTCAACAGACACATCCAAAAATAATGTTTTACCAGTTCTTTAGTATTCCTTAATCCAGTAACATTGACACTAAAATTAGCTATCATACTCATGTTGAATTGGAAAAGAGAGGCTACAAAATGTATTTAATAGGTTAAAGAACAGAAACCTGATTATCCAACAGATTGTAGCTAGTATCAGCTAATGGAAGAAATTTTGGCCTTTCTCTATGGTAATAATGTGATTTTGTGTGTACTTACATACTTCATAACATGTCACTCTTCTAAGGCTCAGATGTTTCTGCCAGTGTTTAATACTTTCATATTCCTTAATTAATGTTATTACATAAATGCAATTCCTTTCCTGATTTGTTCCTAGATGATTTTAAAAAATGCAAATTCTTTGCATTTCTTCATAGGTCTGTTCTTTTGAACCACATGGCCAGAGAACATGCTTTCAATATTGGATTGCCAGACAACATTGTCAACTGCAATGAATTCTTATGTATATTACAGAAGAAACTTGACAAGTAGGTACTGTTTTATGAACCATAGCCTAATAAACCTTTTTTAATCTTATTCTCTATTTTTTAGAATTAATTAAATAGTCAGAAGTAATTTAAAAAATGAAAGCTACTCATTTCTCAAATCATGAGTTTGAATTTTGCATGGTGATCTCCATTTATCTAGATTATGTTGCCATTTAGTGTTTAAATTTTTTATTAAAATGTCATACCAATGTACATACAATATAAACTATATCTTGTAGTATATAAAGAATATACTTACCATCTATCCTAAGAAATAGGAAATTAATTCCATTGACTCTCCCTATCTGCCATTCCCTATTGGTATCTCCCCAGAAATCATTGTTCTTAATTTTGGAACTGTAATTCCTTTACTTTTGTACATATTTGGTAAGATAAATATATTATCAGGTTATTGTATATTATTCAACTTTATGTGAAACAAATAGTTCTGTACGCATTCTTCTAGCTTTTACTTTTCATTCACATTTATAGGTAATATTCCAACATCCCAAGTCCTATTTTGACAACATTGGGTAGCTAGAGCTTAACCTGTTGAAGTAATAGAAATTACCTGAGTATCAAAATGGACACTCAGCTCACACATAAAGAGCAATAACATTTTTTTAAAAAAAGTATAAAGTGATACAGGTCAATGATAAAATTGGTATTTTGTTAAAAGTTCTTAACTTGGCACACTTCTGTAATTTCAACACTCACAAGACTAAAGCAGGAGAATGGCAAGTTCATGGCCAGCCTGTACTACATAGTGAGACCCTGTCTCAAAAGGAGAACAAAGTTCTTAACTAAAATTCTGATACCGGTTTTATGTTAAAACAAATTATTTCACTTTTTTGTTAAATGACCCTTTGTTTATAAAATAAGACCATATGTGGGTGGGGGTGTAGCTCAATGGTAGAACACTTGCCTAGCATGCTCAAGAGTCTGGGATGGATCCCCAGCACTACCAGGAAAATAAAACTTAAAAAGTCAGTAAGACCAGATGAGCTTTCAAACAAGATTAATAATAATGAATATCAATCATCAGCTTATTGCCTATAAATTATTTACTATAAAAGAATACACTGTGTAGTCTATGGCATAAAACATAAGAGATAGGTTGCTTAATAGAGATTTTAAAAAGAAATCAAGGTTGAAACAACAGCACATTGCAGTCATTGGACAGTTTTCATGTAAACGAGATTAGAGTTAGTCTCTAATGACTGATGGATAGAAGTTACAGGCTGTATCAAAAGTCAGGCTTAGTAAAGAGAAATTTATTTTGGTACTACTCTGTTTAGTTCTGATACTTGCTGCTTTATTAAGTAATGAATTCTCTTTCAGTGGAAATACTCAAGCAGAAGGCATCTGAGAATAATACCATTATATAAGTAATATATGTACATATCTGCATATATGAATAAAATATCTAGCACAGTTCAAACCACATAAATGCTCATTAAATAAATAAAAAAACATGTGAAATTATCATTAAAACTTTTCTAAAATGTAGGAATAATCTTCAGCTGAAAAAATCAGAAAATGACAACAGAGAGGGCAAGTAACTCTTAAGTTCCACAGATACCAAGTACTGGACCTAGGAATGAAACTCTGCAGATAAGGTTACAGGTTATACCAAACAAAGTACTGATTATTACATACAATAGGGGCAGTCAGTGCTAGTCATCACTATGATTATTTGAAGAACATACCAACATTTTTCTTTTTTTTAGAGTTTGAATATATCTTTTTTATTATTGTTGTAGTAGGGTTACACTATGACATTTACAAATGTTTTTATAATACATCATAGTTGAATTCACCATCTCCATCATTCTCCTTTATCCCCTTCCCCCCATTCCTGGAATTGTCTCAACAGATACCATTTTTCCATTTTCATACATGGAAAATGGAAAAATGATTTCATACATTCCCACCACATCTATCCTCTTATACCTTTTCCCTGTACCCCCCCCCACACACACAGGTACTAATGCCCCGACAGGACCTGTTTGACCTTCCTGTTATCCATTTTTGAAAAAAGACATTTTTGTTTGTCTAAGATAGCTATACAGGGTGTTTCATTGTGACATTTCCATGTAGATATGTATTATAATGTAAATTAGTTCATCCCCTCTGTTTTTCTCCTTTCTACCTTAGTCGCCTTCTTATTGTGACTTCAACAGGTTTAAAAATTCTATATTTATTCTTATATTGGAAGCACATCAACCATATTCACCTTCTTAACTTCCTTCTTTTACCATCCCTCTGTCATATGTGACCTCCTGTAAGCATGACCTGTTTTTCATCATATCACTTGTATTTGTAATTAGGTCTATTTTCTACATACAAGAAAAAACATATAGCCTTTGACTTTCTGAACCTGGCTCACTTCACTTAAGATAATATTCTCCACTCCATCTATTTACCTGCAAACAATAAAATTTCATCTTTCTTCATAGCTGAATAAAATCCCATTATATGTAAATACCACATTTTCTTAATCCATTCATCAGTTGTGTGTCATCTTAGCTGATTCCATAGCTTGGCTATTATAAATAATGCTGCAGTAAATATGAGTTTCAGGTGCCTTTACTGTAACCTGACTTACATTCCTTCAAGTGTATCCCTGGGAGTGGTATTGCTGGATCATATGGCAGTTCCATTTTTAGTTTTTTGAGGAGCCTCCATACTGTTTTCCTTAGTAGTTGTACTAATTTACATTCTCAACAACAGTATATGACAGTTGCTTTTGCCCCATATCCTCACCAACATTTGTTATTGTTTGTGTTCTTGATGATCGCCATTCTAACAGGAGTGAGGTAGAATGTTAACATGGTTTTGATTTGCATTTCCTTTATGACTAGGGATGGTATGCATTTCTTCATGTGTTTTTTGGGTTTTGTTTTTTTTTTTAGCCATTTGGACTTCCTCCTTTGAAAAAGTTCTGTTCAGTTCATTTTCCCATATTGTCATTGGATCATTGATTTTTGGGGAGTTTAGTTTTTTGAGCTCCCTATATATTCTGGTTATTAATCCCTTGTCAGATACATAGCTGGCAAAGATTTTCTCCCAGTCTATGGGCAACCTCTTCAGTCTGGTGACTATTTCTTTTGTTGTGTAGAAGCTTTTTAATTTCATGTAGTCACATTTGTCAGTCCTTTCTCTTAGTTGCTGATCCATCTGATTTCGATTTAGGAAGTTATTGCTGATGCCTGTTAGTTCCAGTGTATTCCCTGCTCTTTCCTGAACTATCTTCATAGTTTCAGGTCTTACTCCTTAATCCACTTTGAGTTGATACTTGAACAGGGTGAAAGATATGAACCTAGTTTCAGTTTTCAGCCTGCAGATACTCTGTTTTCCCAGCAATGTTTGTTGGAGAGGCTGTCTTTCCTCCATCATATGTTTTGGAGCCTTTGTCAAAAATTAGTTGGGTATAGCTTCATGGGTTCATATCCAGGTCTTCTGTTCTGTTCCACTGGTCTTCATGTCTGTTTTTGTGCCAGTACCATGCTGTCTTTATTGCTGTGGCTCTGTAGTATAATTTGAAGTCAGGTATTGTGATACATCCAGTGGTGCTCTTTTTGCTCAGGGTTGCCTTGGTTGTTTGTTGTCTTTTGTGCTTCCAAATGAACTTCAGGATTGATTTTTCAATCTCTGTGATGAATGTCATTGGCGTTTTTATGGGGATTTCATTGAACATGTAGATTGCTTTTGGTAATATAGCCATTCAACAACATATCAAAAAGATATACATGATGATCAAGTCAGTTTCATCTCAGGGATGCAGGGATGGTCAACATATGCAAATCATTAAATGTAATATAGCATATTAACAAAAGCAAACACAAAAACCACATTATCATCTCAATAGATGCAGAAAAAAAGCCTTTGACAAAATTTGACATCCTTTCATGATAAAAGCTCTTATGAAACCAGGGAAAAGAATGTACCTCAACATAATAAAGGCTATATATGACAAGCCTGTAGCCAACATTATACTAAATGTGGAAAAAACAAAACCATTTCCTCTAGAGTCAGGAATGAGACAGAGATATCTACTGTCTCCACTCTTATGCAGTATAGTCTTGGAATTCCTAACCAGAGCACTACGACAGGAAGATGAAATAAAGGGAATACAGTTTGTAAAATAAGATGTCATACTATCCCTATTTGCAGATGATATGATCTCATACCTAAAAGATCTGACAAACTCCACCAAAAAACTCCTAGACATCATAAACACCTTCAGCAAAGTAGCAGGATACAAAATCAATTTACAAAAATCAGTAGCCTTTCTATGTACCAACAATGAACAGACTTAGAATATAGGACTATAATTCCATTTACAATAGCCTCAAAAAAATAATAAAATACCTAAGAATAAACTTATCAAGGGAAGTAAAAGACCTCTACAATGAAAACTACAAACTGTTAAAGGAAGAAATCAAGAAGACTACAGGAGATGGAAAGATCTCCCATGCTTATGGATTGGCAGAATCAATATTGTGAAAATCGCTATATTACATTTTTCAATTTAGAATAAGCAATTTGATTAGTAAAAATCCTTGACACAGTTTTAACAAGTGGTCAGGTTCCAGTTTAGCCAAATATAAAATAAGTCACATCATGCATCATACAACAAGGCCAAATGAATAAAGTGGGAGAGGGGCGATGATTGGAGAAGGATGATGTATACCATTTGTAGATTTTGTATGACCAAAATGAATAAATAGAAAACTCAGTGTAGTATTCTTGCACCAGCTATCCAAAACATGTGTTTAACATAACAGTGTTTGTGTGTTTCTTTTAGTTTGCAGTGCTTATACTGTGAGAAGACCTTCAGGGACAAAAATACACTTAAAGATCACATGAGAAAAAAACAGCATCGTAGGATCAATCCAAAAAACCAAGAATATGACCGATTTTATGTCATCAATTATTTGGTAAGGCTTTCTATTCCTAATTTAAAATTTGATTACAGTACTGCGAACAAAATCTTACTAAGGCCAACAAATGTTTGAATAGCAAATTAGTACACAGGCTAAAATGTAATTGAGGGGCACTTTTCAAGCAGGTCTTTGTTTTGGCAGGTTTTTGTAGAGTAAAAATGTTCTGTCTCTAGAACTCACAATGATCGTGACCAAAAAAAAAAAAAAAGAAGAAAGAGCATTTCAATATCTATACACCATTCCCTGCTTAACATCTACTAACTTGAGGACAGAGATTTCTATATTCTAATCAAGAAACTTTTGTTTAAGTGCTGGAAGTGCCTGGTGCTATGCAAAATAATTCTTTAAAAGCAGTTTCTGCCACTAAAAGATCCTCCTTTTCACCACCCAAAGTTGGGGGAAAAGTGTATCTTTATCATCCTCTGGGTCAGCTGACTTTTAAAGGAAGTTTCAGGGAAACTTTTTACAGTGCAAGGGTGTGTTTGTTTGACTCAAAGGGTGGATTAACCAAGTTACCATGCCAAGGATTTTAAATGCATTGAAAGACCTTCTTGCCCAGAAGCTTCGATACCATTTGCTGACCTCTACAGATTACAGTCCTTTTGGTGTAAGAAGCAGAAGACTTTGGACTGACAATGACTAAGGAATGCTACCAGCCCTGCCCTTAACCCATTGCCTTTTTAATTGTGTATAACAAAAAAAAAGGAAACTGCTCGCATATTGAAAAAGATTAAGTAATCTTCCAGAGGGATTGGAAAAAAGTTCTGTTTCTAACTGGTACTTTTTTAAGCAAATAGAAAATTTTTTCTCAATATTAATGAAAAATCCAAACCCACTGGCCATAGAGGGTAATTGAATATAATCAGCCATTCTATCTGTTAGATAGAAACAAGTATGTCTGAATTGCATTGGAAATCTCTGTGCTAGGGTAGAATTTTTGTCTTTACCAACTAATCCATATAATGTTAAAGTGAAATTCCCCTGGAGAAGCAAGTTCAGCATGTGTTTGAAGATTGACTCTGGGAGGTTGCCATGGTTTGCTACAAATGTTTTACAACCAGCTGAAGGCAAATGCACCCTTTGAGTCCTTCAATCTTCCCTTGAAATCACTCAGTCATTACTTCCTAGAGCAAATGCTGCTTCAGGCCTAGTCCAATCCAATAGGGAGTAGACTTCAGTGTTAGTTCTAGAGAATATGCAGCTGCTGCAGCAAACTATGAAAGCAATTTAATAGCTCTTCCTTCTAGGGTTCTTTTAAACGAATATTCAAGAGTGTAGGATTAGCAGAACATTGTATATAGCTGGAGGTGTTTACCTTGAAGAGGAGTCTTCAAAGGGTCTACACACATTCTGCTGGCACTTTCCAAAAGTGTGATGTTCATTCCCTCGACACCAAGCAGTATGACTGTCAAAACTGAGATCATCTACAAGTGCCAGTTATCCCCAGAGAAACATGCCAGATTATACTGACCACAGATTTGCTATATTAATTACGACTTAATGAATATAAAATGAAAATTAAATCACAACTTTTCGGGTAATATTGACACAATCACTTTTTAAACCAGTTGCTATTAGAGTACTCACTATGGACCAGGCATTATCCTAGGTATTTGTATGAAATCACTTAATCACATCCCTATACACAGCTATTAGTATGAAGCATATTTTATATATTAGGACATGGGGACACAGAGAAGTTAAGTATTTTCCCAAATTCACATAGCTAGGGCAAGATACTCTCTATATTGGTTCCCTTCATTTTCATGGTTGAGATAATACTACTACCTACATCTTATGCTTTTGCTTGAGTTTTTGATCAAGTAGTGGTAATGAGCTCATAATGATCTATTCACCTTCTCTTGCCTGTTCTCCTTAATATTGTAACAAACTAGAAGATGAAGCAGCATCAAAGTAAAGCTGACTTTAGTCTGTGCTTTAAGACTCATGGGCACGCTTAGTCTTCTTAGCCCTGTGTGCCTTCCTACTGAGGTAAGTAGGCAATAATTAATGCAAATTATTAGCAAAAACACAGAAATTAAAATGTTAGGATGCTTTAGCATTATGAAAATGATGAAAACACCTTTGAAAAGGATTGAAGAAACCAATAAAGAAAGTCTCTGAAAATATGTAAGTGCCCTGATCTAAAGGAGTGCTCACTAAAGATGTGAACTAACAGCATTCTAGGAATGTTTTCGAGAATTTTGTTGTAAACAAAGGGTATTGGAGTATACAAAATGTGTACATAGGAGACTGTTACAAATAGTAATGATGTATAGTTAGAAAAAAATGAGAACTGACAGTTTCTCAGCATCATTTTAGTTTTACTCTAGACCCAGAGTCATTAATATGAAGAATAAATTCATGAAAAATTTTACTTAGGCAATGAATAATGACAATGTTTTATTCTTTAAAAAATGAAAATAAAAGAATGAGCTGGTTGTGCAAATCAATAAGGCAAAGAGGATGAGGCAGAAGGATCTTATGATCCAAGACCAGCCTGGGCTACACTTTTAAGCTGGGTTCCATGCCCAAGCCTATAATTCCAACTACTCAGGAGGTGGAGATCAAAAGGGTCACAGTTCCAAGCCAACCTGGGCAAAAAGTTTACAAGATCCCATCACAACGAATGATTGGGTACAGTTGTGTTTGTCTGTCACCACAGCTATATAGGGAAGCACAAATAAGAGGATTGCAGTCCAGGCCAGCACAGACATACAGCAAGATCCTATTACAAAAAATAAACAATGCAAAAAGGACCGGCTGAGTGGCTCAAGTGGTAGAGCACCTACCTAGCAAGCACAAGGCACTGAGTTCAACCCCAAGTACCACAAAAAAAAAGAAAAGAAGGAGAGTCATTCATGGTCTGTTCCTCTGAGGGAAAAGGCTGATGTGAATGCATGAGTGTGGACAAAAGATAGAACAATTTTCTTAGTAGTCAATGTCTACACATCCATTTCATTGAGTTCACACATGTTCCATACATTTAGTGAGTTACAGGTACCAGAATGCTTTAACAAAAAGAAAAATATTGCAAGTAGGGTAACTAATTTGATGACTACTCTTAGAGTTCAGAAGTTGGTATAGGAGGCAGATGTGTTAGTATATTCATTTTAACTGCACTGGTGCAGTCTGAGCAGAAGACTTCCAAATTCTTTATATCCTGCCTGGAAGAATCCATGGCAAGACATGTGGGTATAAATGGAGTTTATTACAAGTTAGGGAAGGGAAATACAATGGGAAAAATGGTGAAGCCAGGGTGGAAGCTGGAAGCTGCCTCATCCTCTTTTCCTTGCTCTTCAGGTGCTTTTAAAACCTGCGATAACCTACGGGAAGGGGCGAACAAGGAGATTCCAACCCAATAATTAATGATTAGGGAGGGTATGAGTGGTTCTTGGCCAGGTGGGGGTGGTCCCTGAGCCAAAGCATGGTTAATCTAAGATGTAATATTTTTTCTGAGTCCCGAACTTTCCCTACTTTAGCCTGCCTCAATTTGACTGCCTCATACAGAGTCAGAATTTGACCTCTCCCATACATACCTATGCAGTAAATGAATCATCTCCCCACTGACTTCCTCACTTTCATTTCAAACCCTTATAGAATCCAGTGCAGCCTTGATGGGAACACCTGTATATCCTGGCAAGATGCACTCCAGTAATTATCAAAAGTGAGGGAGCCAAGAGACAAGGAGGCCATTTTTAGCTTTCCTCCAAGCTCAGCAAATTCACAGGCTCTTTGTTTCTTCTTAGGTGAGGTGATTTCCTTGTTTAATAATTGTTATCAGTTTCTCATTAACAGGCTTGCAGATACATCAAAGATTCTTTGCAAAGCAAGTTGTTGCTTTGTTTTTCCAGAAATAAGACAGCTCTGAGGATAGTAGGGAGAAGGTGCCCGTTAGTTTCACAGGCAGACACTCCCACTTCAGAGGGCAACAAACTGCTTAACATCATTAGGGCTTCAACTATATGTTCCTGGGGTGCTCGTGTTTCATGCCCTGAGTTTTTCTAAAGGGAATTATTTTTGCCATGCCTTTATCATTTGATTTAAATTTTATTGCTCTTAAAATATACAAAGCCACTTATAACAAATGTAGGCTCTTAACCTGTTTTCATAGTTTTGCTATAGTTCTAACTTGTTTACGCTTAAAATGCTTCTCTTTCTCTGCTGCTAGTGGATTTTTGTTTAGCACATGTGAGTGTGTGTGTGTGTGTGTGTGTGTGGAGGGTTGCTGAGTGAGAGGGATCTTTTTTTTTTTTCCATGTTTTTCTCCACCCTCTCATTGCTCATAAACCATCTGATGCAGGGATTTGAGGGGGTGTCCTGAACATCTTTACTGACATGCCTTCCAAACTTTTTCTTTGCTTTTCTGACATGATTCATTAGCAGGCACAGTGTCCTAATTAGAGAGTTGTGTACTTTGATTTTTGTAATTTTTTTCCTCTTCTGGTGTCATTCCTATAATAAATCATGTATTTAACTATATCACAGCAGAGCACTTTAGGAATGTCTATGCCACTGTCACATCAAAATTGCTTATTTCCTAATATACTAATGAACATAAATTTTCATTTTCCTCTCAAGTTTGGTGAATTATGAATGCTGTATTATCTAGACAAATCCCCACATGTTGTACTGAACACTGAGGAAGTCACAAAATTACACTGTAAGTTTAGAAGTTTGGCAGTGAATGATATTTATAGTTCCTTTTGGCTCAAAACATTTGTTGATAAGCATCACTTGTCATATCATTCAGAATGGTAATATCACAGATGGTCTATCTTTGAATAATATCTTGTAGTAATAAAAGTATGACCATAAATAAGTCCTATTCCAGGGAGACCAAGTAAGGCATGAAGGATTTAATTCAATGCCAAAAATCCTAACAAAGATCCTGTTAACAGTGTTGAAGCCATTCTTGATGTCCTGTAATGAGGTTCAGACACTTCATAACAACTCTGGGAAGTACATTATACAGTCCAAATTAACTATCTCTAATGACATTATAGATCTCTGCATGTCTGAGTTTATGCATCGTTTAGCTGATAAATAATGACAGCTTCAAAATCTCTCATTAGGTTGATGAATGATAGATTTTTCTTTCTCCTTCTAAATCATAATGACACTCGTATTTGTTGTTTTTAGCTAAGTGAGTAGCTTTATTTGAGGGGAAAAAAAATGTTCACAACTGAGTGGATTTTGGTTGTGTTTCGCCAAAAAAAAAAAGTATTGGGTAATAAGGATAGCTGTGATTATAGCAAGGTCAGACTGAGCTTAACCCTATTCATAGTTCAGCGGCTTAAAAAGATGTCCACTGACATTCCTACATTCCTCTTTAGTATATTGTCTGCTTTTGCATGTCACAGTTGAAAGATTAGTTGGAGAGAGAAGACAAGACAAAAAGGAAAAAACAGCTCAAAGTAGACAAGAGAAATGGTTGGGCCAAAGGAAATCATTTGTGCTTGTCACTCCATGAAGTTTTGCTGAAACTGTGATCAGGCTTGCCACAGAAAGCCCCCAAAAGGTGGAACTTTTCCACTAGCTCTAAAGGATAAAGGGATTTGAATAGATATTTAGTAACTATTCATCCCAGTACTATGTGCTTTATAGACATTAATCACCTCACAAGATCTTTTTGAGGTAAGATTTAAAATGACCTCAATATTTTAGATTTTTTTCAGTTATAATTTAACTCAACAAAAAAAAGTTTCTAGTACCCACTATGTACCAGACTCAAGAAATGTAACCATGAACCAAGGCCATATCTTCCTGGACATTCAAGTGGAGGGAGAAGAATAGCAAAAAAGAAAACAAGCACAGTTGCACGGTGATTTCTGTTAGTAACCAATGCTTTGAAGAACAGTAATACATAGTAGAGGAATGTAAACTAACCTGAAAGAGGAGTGTTGTTTTAGATAGTAGTCAGGAAGGCTGAGATGTTCATGTTTAAGCAGACACCAGACTGACTGAGCTAATGCAGGTATGTGGAGAGCGTTGTTACAGACAGACTGTGCAGCAAATGTGAAAAAAAAGTAATTGGGTGGAAGCCAGCATGATGTGTTCAGGATACAGCAAAAAGACCAGTCTGACTGAAGCAAATTGAGGAAAAGAAGAGATAGTGGGAAATGAGGATGAAGAGGGAGCCAGAGGAGGGCATGGAGGGTTATAACCAAGGACTCTGGATTTTCGTCAAAATGTGATGGGAAGCATGAGAGGGTTTCTATATACAGCAAGTCCCTTAGAAAGATCACTGTGGCTGCTGTCTGAGAAATAGATTATAGGGGACCATTCCACTTGGGAGGTTGTTTCAGGGTCTCTTTTAAACAAAATCCTCAATGATTTTGGTTCTTTTTACAGGTCTTGCTTTGTAGCTCAGGCTGGTCTCTAACTTGAGATCCTTCTGCCTCAGCTTCCTGAGTGCTGAGATTATAGGCAAGATTACAGGCGTGTGCCACCATACCCAGTTTAAGATTTCCAAATGATTCTAATATGTATCAAGGATTGAGAAACACTGATATAAAATTAAGAGAAAAGAACTTGATTGCTTGAAGCAGGCCACTGCTACTTCTCCAAAAAAGAAAAGCATATTAAAAGCATTTTAGGATATATCCATGCTTATAACAGAGTGGATTTGGTTTTGGTTTTTGGTTTGTTGTTATTGTTTTAAATTCTGTGTCTGTTTTTTCATCCCCTTCTCTTCTCAATCTCTTTTAACTTCTCTTTCTTCCTACAAAGGAGCTTGGAAAATCATGGGAAGAAGTTCAACTGGAAGATGATCGAGAGTTGCTAGACCATCAAGAAGAGTAAGACGTGTTATTACTGCTAATTAATCACAGTGTTTCAAGAACAGGAAGAGAATTCTTTAATTTGATCTGAAATTATCATTACAAAGAGAAAGAATAAAATCTTTTTAAGCCTTGAATCTTTTCATAAAATATGACAAGAATTTTAATTCAGAATACCTTTCATGTAAAAATCAGTAAAGACTAGGGGCTGATGGAGTAGCTTAAGTGTAGAGTACCTGCTTAAGCAAGTTTGAGGCCCTGAATTCAAACCCCAGTACTACAAAAAAAAAGACAGTAAAGACACTTTTATTCCAACTAAATTAAAACTGTTAATTGAACACAAAGGTACCATGTAATTCAGACAAAAACACATTCTAAATGCTTTGCTTACTCAGGTGGTTCATAGCCCTCAGAATGATGTGATCTTTGAACTCTCATTGGAGTACAGTTGCTTCATTGGAGTAGAGTATATAACCAAACTGAAGGTGATCTTGTTCTGTGTTTATCCAACTGATGACTGACTTAAAACAAGCATAGCCTCTTTGCTTAAATTGTATATTTGAGAAGTATTCTTTACAACCTAAAATGATTCTCTATTAATCACCCTTTTTTTTTTAAGTCAAATCTGTTTGATCTTTTTTCTCTTCCAGGATCTTGGATTAATATTATTTTAATAGTGAAGTAAAGTCTGAAGTTGGAGAGTTGCCATGTGCTAAATTTCCTTGATGCCAAGATATTCAGGCAGGGAGTCTCCGTACTAGAATGAACACATTTCTTTCTCATTAGGATATACTATATCTAATGAATGAATGTTTCAGTTTTTGTGACACAAAGGTTACAAATAGCCATAGTCAGGACCTGCAACAGATGGGCTGGTGACTCCCTCCTGGATGAATAGTCTTAGGAAAAATATTCACTATTTTCTACTAAGAAGCTTTGGTGTGATCTTTGGAGTCACAGCAGTGATAATTTCTGAACTTGCCATAAAAAATTCTGTTTGAATTTGAGTGGCTCCTTGTCCTCCCAGCTCTTCTCTTCTGACAGTTTTCCTGTTTTGGGAATGAGAAGTTGAGAATATTTTTTAAAGTACATGTATGAGAATGCTGGAAGTAGTAAAAAGGATCTTGTGTGCTTTCTGAGTTCTCTGTCTACCACCAGGTTTAACACTTGCCCCATTTAAAATGATCAGCATTTCTCTCATGAAGGATACATGGTTTGCCTTTTTAAAAAACACTATTTGTCATGCAGGAACACATTCCCGGCATTGCACCTCAGAGCATGTGCACTCAGTGGTTGTGGCTAATGAGGGAGATCATCACATTTCTTGATAGGTCTCCATTGCAAATTAAACCTAGTTCTTTGAAGAAAACATTGCTCCAGTTCTGACTCAAATAGCTGCTCCAAACAGTGGCAAATATGAGAAAATGGGGCAGCACCTTTTTGCTGTTTATATTAATTTTGTGGTGCTGCTTTGATAGTCTTTACCAAAAGACTCCTAGGAAGGAGAAAGTAATACCAATTCACTCTTCATGAAAAGAATCTCAATGTTTTCTGCTTTTTTCATTAACCCAGAGACTGGTCTGACTGGGAAGAACACCCCGTCTCTGCTGTCTGTCTGTTTTGTGAAAAGCAAGCAGAAACAATCGAGAAATTATATGTACACATGAAGGTGAGATACTTTTATTCATTTTTTTTTTTCATTTTTCTTTTATTATTCATATGTGCATACAAGGCTTGGTTTATTTCTCCCCCCTGCCCCCACCCCCTCCCTTACCACCCACTCCACCCCCTCCCACTCCCCCCCTCAATACCCAGCAGAAACTATTTTGCCCTTATCTCTAATTTTGTTGTAGAGAGAGTATAAGCAATAATAGGAAGGAACAAGGGGTTTTGCTGGTTGAGATAAGGATAGCTATACAGGGCATTGACTCACATTGATTTCCTGTGCGTGGGTGTTACCTTCTAGGTTAATTCTTTTTAATCTAACCTTTTCTCTAGTTCCTGGTCCCCTTTTCCTATTGGCCTCAGTTGCTTTAAGGTATCTGCTTTAGTTTCTCTGCATTAAGGGCAACAAATGCTAGCTAGTTTTTTAGGTGTCTTACCTATCCTCACCCCTCCCTTGTGTGCTCTCGCTTTTATCATGTGCTCATAGTCCAATCCCCTTGTTGTGTTTGCCCTTGATCTAATGTCCACATATGAGGGAGAACATACGATTTTTGGTCTTTTGGCCAGGCTAACCTCACTCAGAATGATGTTCTCCAATTCCATCCATTTACCAGCGAATGATAACATTTCGTTCTTCTTCATGGCTGCATAAAATTCCATTGTGTATAGATACCACATTTTCTTAATCCATTCGTCAGTGCTGGGGCATCTTGGCTGTTTCCATAACTTGGCTATTGTGAATAGTGCCGCAATAAACATGGATGTGCAGGTGCCTCTGGAGTAACAGTCTTTTGGGTATATCCCCAAGAGTGGTATTGCTGGATCAAATGGTAGATCGATGTCCAGCTTTTTAAGTAGCCTCCAAATTTTTTTCCAGAGTGGTTGTACTAGTCTACATTCCCACCAACAGTGTAAGAGGGTTCCTTTTTCCCCGCATCCTCGCCAACACCTGTTGTTGGTGGTGTTGCTGATGATGGCTATTCTAACAGGGGTGAGGTGGAATCTTAGTGTGGTTTTAATTTGCATTTCCTTTATTGCTAGAGATGGTGAGCATTTTTTCATGTTTTTTGGCCATTTGAATTTCTTCTTTTGAGAAAGTTCTGTTTAGTTCACTGCCCATTTCTTTATTGGTTCATTAGTTTTGGGAGAATTTAGTTTTTTAAGTTCCCTGTATATTCTGGTTATCAGTCCTTTGTCTGATGTATAGTTGGCAAATATTTTCTCCCACTCTGTGGGTGTTCTCTTCAGTTTAGAGACCATTTCTTTTGATGAACAGAAGCTTTTTAGTTTTATGAGGTCCCATTTATCTATGCTATCTCTTAGTTGCTGTGCTGCTGGGGTTTCATTGAGAAAGTTCTTACCTATACCTACTAACTCCAGAGTATTTCCTACTCTTTCTTGTATCAACTTAAGAGTTTGGGGTCTGATATTAAGATCCTTGATCCATTTTGAGTTAATCTTGGTATAGGGTGATATACATGGATCTAGTTTCAGTTTTTTGCAGACTGCTAACCAGTTTTCCCAGCAGTTTTTGTTGAAGAGGCTGCTATTTCTCCATCGTATATTTTTAGCTCCTTTGTCAAAGATAAGTTGTTATAGTTGTGTGGCTTCATATCTGGTCCTCTATTCTGTTCCACTGGTCTTCATGTCTGTTTTTGTGCCAGTACCATGCTGTTTTTATTGTTATTGCTTTGTAATATAGTTTGAAGTCAGGTATTGTGATACCTCCTGCATTGTTCTTTTGACTGAGTATTGCCTTGGCTATTCGTGGCCTCTTGTGTTTCCATATAAATTTAACAGTAGATTTTTCAATCTCTTTAATGAATGTCATTGGAATTTTGATGGGAATTGCATTAAACATGTAGATTACTTTTGGGAGTATCGACATTTTTACTATGTTGATTCTACCAATCCATGAGCATGGGAGATCTCTCCACTTTCTATAGTCTTCCTCAATCTCTTTCTTCAGAAGTGTATAGTTTTCCTTGTAGAGGTCTTTCACATCTTTTGTTAGGTTTACACCTAGGTATTTGATTTTTTTTGAGGCTATTGTAAATGGAATTGTTTTCATACATTCTTTTTCCGTTTGCTCATTGTTAGTGTATAGAAATGCTAATGATTTTTCTATGTTGATTTTATATCCTGCTACCTTGCTATAGCTATTGATGATGTCTAGAAGCTTCTGAGTAGAGTTTTTTGGGTCTTTAAGGTATAGGATCATGTCGTCTGCAAATAGGGATATTTTGACAGTTTCTTTACCTATTTGTATTCCTTTTATTCCTTCTTCTTGCCTAATTGCTCTGGCTAGGAATTCCAGTACTATGTTGAATAGGAGTGGAGATAGTGGGCATCCTTGTCTGGTTCCTGATTTTAGAGGGAATGGTTTAATTTTTCTCCGTTAAGTATAATGCTGGCTGTAGGTTTGTCATATATAGCTTTTATAATGTTGAGGAACTTTCCTTCTATTCCTAGTTTTCTTAGAGCTTTTATCATGAAATGATGTTGGATCTTATCAAAGGCTTTTTCTGCATCTATTGAGATGATCAAGTGGTTTTTGTCTTTGCTTCTGTTAATGTGGTTTATTACGTTTATTGATTTTCGTATGTTGAACCACCCCTGCATCCCTGGGATGAAGCCTACTTGGTCGTGGTGAATAATCTTTTTGATGTGTTGCTGAATTCGTTTGCCATTATTTTGTTGAGGATTTTTGCATCAATGTTCATTAAGGAGATTGGCCTATAGTTCTCCTTTTTGGAGGTGTCTTTGCCTGGTTTTGGGATAAGTGTAATACTGGCTTCATAAAATGTGTTTGGCAGTTTTCCTTCCCTTTCTATTTCATGGAACAGTTTAAGGAGGGTTGGTATCAGTTCTTCTTTAAAGGTCTGATAGAATTCAGCAGAGAATCCATCAGGTCCTGGACTTTTCTTTTTGGGGAGACTCTTGATTGCTGCTTCAATTTCATTTTGTGTTATAGGTCTATTCAGGTGATTAATTTCCTCTTGGTTCAGTTTTGGATGATCATATGTATCTAGAAATCTGTCCATTTCTTTTAGATTTTCAAATTTATTTGAATATAGGTTCTCAAAGTAGTCTCTGATGATTTCCTGGACTTCCATGGTGTTTGTTGTTATCTCCCCTTTTGCATTCCTGATTCTACTAATTTGGGTTTTTTCTCTCCTCATTTTAGTCAGGTTTGCCAGGGGTCTATCGATCTTGTTTATTTTTTCAAAGAACCAACTTTTTGTTTCATTAATTCTTTGTATGGTTTTTTTGGTTTCTATTTCGTTGATTTCAGCTCTTATTTTTATTATTTCTCTCCTTCTATTTGTTTTGGGATTTGCTTGTTCTTGTTTTTCTAGGAGTTTGAGATGTATCATTAGGTCATTGATTTGGGATCTTTCAATCTTTTTAATATATGCACTCATGGCTATAAACTTTCCTCTCAAGACTGCCTTAGCTGTGTCCCATAGGTTCCGGTAGGTTGTGTTTTCATTTTCATTGACTTCCAGGAACTTTTTAATTTCCTCTTTTATTGCATCGATGATCCATTCTTCATTAAGTAATGAGTTATTTAGTTTCCAGCTGTTTGCATGTTTTTTGTCTTTACTTTTGTTGTTGAGTTCTACTTTTACTGCATTGTGGTCAGATAGTATGCATGGTATTATTTCTATTTTCTTATATTTGCTGAGGCTTGCTTTGTGCCCTAGGATATGATCTATTTTGGAGAAGGTTCCATGGGCTGCTGAGAAGAATGTATATTGTGTAGAGGTTGGATGAAATGTTCTGTAGACATCTACTAGGTCCACTTGATCTATTGCATATTTTAGATCTTGGATTTCTTTATTGAGTTTTTGTTTGGATGACCTATCTATTGATGATAATGGAGTGTTAAAGTCTCCCACAACCACTGTGTTGGCGTTTATATATGCTTTTAGGTCTTTCAGGGTATGTTTGATGAAATTGGGTGCGTTGACATTGGGTGCGTACAGATTGATGATTATTATTTCCTTTTGGTCTATTTCCCCTTTTATTAGTATGGAATGTCCTTCTTTATCTCGTTTGATCAATGTAGGTTTGAAGTCTACTTTGTCAGAGATAAGTATTGCTACTCCTGCTTGTTTTCGGGGGCCATTGGCTTGGTAAATCTTCTTCCAGCCTTTCATCCTAAGCATATGCTTATTTCTGTCGGTGAGATGAGTCTCCTGTAAGCAACAAATTGTTGGATCTTCTTTTTTAATCCATTTTGTCAAACGGTGTCTTTTGATGGGTGAATTAAGTCCATTAACATTAAGTGTTAGTACTGATAGGTATGTGGTGATTCCTGCCATTTAGTTATCTTAGTTGTTTGAAGGTTTGATTGTGTGTACCTAACTTGATGTTACTCTCTACTGTCTTGCTTTTTCTTATCCTGTGGTTTGGTGCTGCCTGCCTTTTCATGGTTAAGTTGGGTGTCACTTTCTGTGTGCAGATCCCTTGCAGAATCTTTTGTAATGGTGGCTTTGTGGTCACATATTGTTTTAGTTTCTGCTTATCATGGAAGACTTTTATTGCTCCATCTATTTTGAATGATAGCTTTGCTGGGTAGAGTATCCTGGGGTTGAAGTTATTTTCATTCAGTGCCCGGAAGATCTCACCCCACGCTCTTCTTGCTTTTAATGTTTCTGTTGAGAAGTCTGCTGTGATTTTGATGGGTTTACCTTTGTATGTTACTTGTTTTTTCTCTCTTACAGCCTTCAATATTCTTTCCTTAGTTTCTGAACTTGTTGTTTTAATGATGATATGTCGTGGAGTAGTTCTATTTTGATCTGGTCTGTTTGGTGTCCTGGAGGCCTCTTGCATTGTATGGGAATATCTTTCTCTAGATTTGGGAAATTTTCCGTTATTATTTTGTTGAATATATTACGCATTCCCTTCGCTTGCACCTCTTCTCCTTCTTCGATGCCCATGATTCTCAAGTTTGGTCTTTTGATGGAGTCAGTGAGTTCTTGCATTTTCTTTTCACAGGTCTTGAGTTGTTTAATTAATAGTTCTTCAGTTTTTCCTTTAATTACCATTTCATCTTCAAGTTCTGAGATTCTGTCTTCTGTTTGTTCTATTCTGCTGGATTGGCCTTCCGTTTTGTTTTGCAGTTCTGTTTCGTTCTTTTTTCTGAGGTTTTCCATATCCTGGCTGTTTTCTTCTTTATTGTTGTCTATTTTTGTCCTGAGTTCATTTATCCATTTATTCATTGTGTTCTCTCTTTCACTTTGGTGTTTATACAGTGCTTCTATGGTTTCCTTTATTTCTTCTTTTGCTTTTTCAAATTCTCTATTTTTATTGTCTTGGAATTTCTTGAGTGTCTCCTGTACATTTTGGTTGACCCTATCCAGTATCATCTCTATAAAATTCTCATTGAGTACTTGTAGTATGTCTTCTTTTAAATTATTCTTGTGGGCTTCATTGGGTCCTTTGGCATAGTTTATCTTCATTTTGTTGGAGTCTGGATCTGAGTTTCTGTTCTCTTCATTCCCCTCTGGTTCCTGTACTAATTTTTTGCTGTGGGGAAACTGGTTTCCTTGTTTTTTCTGTCTTCCTGTCATTGTCCTTGGTGTTGTTACTGTCCCTGTACTGTGTGTAATTAAGTATTTTCTAGCTTGTAATAATAACAATGGTAATATTGAGAATGGAAGAGTGAGCTGAGATGGAAAGCAAGAAGTTAAAGAAAAGGGGAAAACAAATATACAGACAAGAGGGAGAAAGCAGAACAAGGTATCAGACAAGAGAGTTTCAAAGGTATAAACAGGGAGTGTTAGTGTACTAATCGACAGTAAGCTGAACAGACAATAGAGAGACAGAGAGAGGATTGAAAATCAAAGATAAAAAAATAAAAAATAAGTATATGAAAGTAATATCTATTATAAAAATGAATTAAAATAAAATGGAAAATAGAAAATTAAAAAAAAAAAAAAAACCAAAAAACTTCCAAGTTTATATGCAATGCAATTTCAGTCTTAATAATTTGGATGTCCGTCTCAATCTCCAGTCCTGGAGTTGGTGCCTCAGATGTTGTTCTGTAGTTGTCTCATCAAAGGGGATGCATAAAGTAGAACAAAACTACACTCACACACACACAGAAAAAAAAAAAAAAAAAAGCCCCACCAAGTGTCCCCAGTTCAAATGCAATACAGTTTCAGTAAGTTTTTCGGCTTGCAGGTGTAATTCGGTTGTTCTCTCATCAAAGGTAGGGAGAAAAAAAAAAAAAGCGTCTGGAGGCAGTTCTGAGAGTGGTATCTGCAACTGTGGCTTGCCTGCCTGCTGCTCTCAGCCTGTAGCTGGCGGCGTTATTTATGCAGATCTCTGGGGTGAGCTTAGCACTCACCTGGTCCCACAGGCTTTGTTTGCTCAGAGTTCTCCTGTGCGGGAGCCTCTGCTACAGGCTTTCCCCTTTCCAAGCACTGGGAAAGGCGACACTGCCCCGCGTTGTCAGGCCTGCGTGTTTATTTACAGTTCACGTGGGAAGTGGGTCTTCCCTCCTCTCACAAGCGTCCCTGCTCCTGGTTGCTGGGCGCGCCCCGCTCCCGCCAGAGCCTCTCTGGCCCGCCCGGCTCGTTTATTTACAGTCCCGGGAAGGGTTCCCTTCCCCCAATCTTCAGCGCTCAGGGCGCCCCACCCTCTTTCCAGCGTGTCTTAACTGTTCTTATTGCTTAGTACTCAGTTTCTCTTTTTTTCCCGGGTGGAGGTCAGTCTGTCCAGGGGGCTATGCTGCTCTGGCCCAGGCTTTTCTGTGGGGAACCGCGGTACCGCGAAGCTCACCTGGTCCGCGTCTTCCCACGCCGTATGGGCGCCGGCCACTGGCGGCCCGGGGGCCTCCTCGGTTCTCCGTTTAACTTGAAGTGGAGATTCTCTGCGCCGGCCGGAGATGTGGAGGAGTCAAAGTTATGCCTTTTCTCGGTGATTATGCCTGCAAAGTGTGTCTCCAGCGTCTCTCCAAGATTTCACTATAGGAGGGTCGCTTTCTGCTTCCTACCTCTAGCCGCCATCTTGGAATCTCACTTTTATTCATTTTAATGGGATCATTGTACCCTCATTATTTATGCTTTCTTTTCTCAGTCATTATCCCCTTTCTAAAAGTACTTAGACAAAACAGAGACAGGCCAGGTCCATCCTGGACAGTCAAGCTCAGGGTGTGGTCCACTGGATCTGGGTGTACCATCCCACCTCTGAGATACTCACCAAATCATTCTAGCTGAGAAGTTTTGATCTGCAACTATGATTAACAGTACCCAGATATGGACAGTTGTTTTTCTAGGGTTTCCAGTACTGCTAACCAAGAGATTAAGAAGGGAAAATTTTGCCTTTAAAAATGCCCTGAGGGTGGGGAGGGGATGGTAGTGGGTGGACAATATCCACAGTTTGGTCTTACAGCCCATTCAGATACCAGGATTTAGAAAGAAGATATTTAGAACCATTTCAGTCTGCATTCCCTTCTGGGTGCCATTTGAAGTTAGTAGTTCTAAACATTTATTCAGCCCAGTATACCTGAAAGATGCACCCCCCCTATACCTCTGATCTTCAGTTGGATGCTGGGGGAGAAGGTGAGTAGCTAATAATTTATGACAATATCACAGCTTCAGGGGTGGTTATAATAGAAAAATATTTCCAGGTGATTCTGACATTCTTTCCCTCTCCTCCTCTCAGCTGCTCTATTCATAGTGACTGTGCTCTCGTTTTCCCACCTTCATTCCTCCTCATTCAGAAAACACTGTACTTAGTTCAGTAAAATAAAGACCAGGAAGCTGTTAGAAAGGCCTTAGTCATTTACCCTTAAAAAAGTAGAGAACTAGTTTCTTTGAAACAGGTTACCACTAGCATATTGTATAGTTTTCTATGTTTAAATTTAATTCATAATATCCTAATGTCTTCAAGTGGGAAGGAGCCCTAGTATCCCGTACCATGTACGGATTCCCTTTTTAGTATACTTCACAGGTGTCTTTAACTTCTGTATGGTCACTTCCAGTAACAACATACCATGAATTCCTAATCATCCTGCATATGGTGTTGCTACAGTAAATGCTTTCATACCAAGTTAGATGGTCTTTATCCTCTGTGGGCATGTAAGTGAAACATTTATACAGACAGTCGCAAGAAGGGAGCAAACAGAATAAAATAAGTCTCTGCATTGTGAAAATCAAAAGGAAGTATAATTTATGGGAATATCGGAATGAAGAGAAACTTTCAAGTTTAGCAGTATATTTGACACCATAAATGAAAAACACAATGTGTAAAATTAACCTGTCTGCTTGTGGAGCAAAGAATTTCTTTCCAAAATTCTAATCCAGATTCCCAGCATAGTAGAGTCATATCCTACCTACACACTTTAATCAGACTGCATATTTCCAACATGGTAAATTGAAAAAACCCCAGTGAATAATTAAAACATTCGAACTGATTGGCATGACTTGTTTGGAGCATGCCTGAAAAAGCAGTTGAATGTGGAGGGAAGACTTCAAAAACAGAAGGTGATGAACACAGACTGAGTTTCTAAAGTACTCAAACTCCTGTGAATAAGCAGTTTGTTTACTAAACTTCAGCCTGAAAGATTAAATAATTCATATCGTTATAAATGTATTCATTTCTTTTTTTAGGACACACATGAATTTGATCTCCTCAAAATAAAGTTAGAACTTGGTAAGTTTGATTCATAAGTCATTTTCCATGATACTGCATTTTTATAAACCATCCTATAAATGATGCCAGTGTTCTATAGATGTGATTGGAGAGCACATAGCCTGTTTCTTTACAGGAGGTCTTAACAGAGCCCACTGAGGCACTGATTCTTAACCATTTTGAACTATGGTATTCAAATATGAATTTTTATTTCACATAGACTTTCTTCCACTTTTCTACATATATGTGTGTGTACGTTCAATGAAATACAAGGAGGAGGGTAATAGAAAGAGCACAGATTTCTTAGACCAGAGGTTATATTCCAGCTCTATAGCCCTCACTAAATATATAACATTGGACCCTTGGTCAGAAAAGTGTTATAGGGAGTGTATATAAAACATCTACTCTACTGCTTAGTAGTATAACTAGCATTATGATTGTAGGTGTACCCAACTGTATTATTCTCAGTATTACTACCATGGAAGGAGTAGGGGTATTGAAAGGTAAAGTATTGATTCTTAATGGACCTAAAATAGTAAAAAGCCCACTTCTCACATGTCAGCTCAGTTGCTGCTTTCCTAAACTCCTGGATGTATTCGTTTGCTTTACTGCTTTTATAGACATGTAAATATATTGTATAGTTTACTAGTCAAGACCCTGAGCTCCAGAGCACACATAATACCCCATAAATACATACAATTTTATGCTTTTATTTTTCAGTTAAAAATAAGTTTAATTTAAATGTAAAGAAAGAAAGAAATTATGACATTGCAAAAATAGGTCTGACTGAGCCAGGCTTACACCCGTAATTCTAGCTACTTGGGAGGTTATGATCAGAAGGTTTGAGGCCAGCCAGGGCATGTAGATGGTAAGACCTTGTCTCCAAAATCACCAGAACAAAATGGACTGGAGGTGTGACTCAGGCAATAGCGCTCCTGCTTTGCAAGCGTGAATACCTGAGTTCAAACCCTAGTCACACCAAAAAAAAAAAAAAGCCTGATTGATTGTCTAATGATTCTGTTTACTGTCATTTTTCAGGATTAAATTTCTATCAGCAAGTAAAACTTGTCAATTTCATTCGAAGGCAAGTTCACCAATGCAGATGTTATGGCTGTCATGTGAAATTCAAATCCAAAGCAGATTTACGGACTCACATGGAAGAAGCTAAACATACTTCATTGCTTCCTGAAAAACAGACATGGGACCAACTGGAGTTAGTACTGCTCAACAATATGTAGCCTTCTGTGCTCTGTCTACCTTATTATATTCTTTCATTCAATTTTTTTTAACTTAGGTAACATATATGTAATATAGAAAGGAAAAACTTCAAAATCTCATTTTTAAATAATCCCCTTTACTAATGAAACCAACTATTTCAGAATTTAACCAACTATTACAGAATTTAACCACTGTAATGCTAGCTACTCAGAAGCAGAGATCAGGAGGATCACTATACAGAGCCAGCCTAGGCAAATAGTTCGTGAAACCCTATCTCAAAAAAACCATCACAAAAAGGGGATGGCAGAGTGGCTCAAGGTGTAAGTCCTGAGTTCAAGCCCTAGTACTGCAAAAAAATAAAAATAAAAATTGTAAGCACATTTCCATATCTAATACCCATCTGTTGTATCATTTTTAATGGTTGTCAAATATCCCATTGTATAGATATTCTATTACTATTATAAATATTAATATACTGGATATCCATATGCCTACATTTGTGCATGCTAACCTAATTATTTCTTTTAGATAAACTCTTAGAAATAAAATTACTATGTCAAAGATATGTACACTGGTAGGGCTGTTGTTATATACTTTACATATTGGCACTTTTGAAGTTGCAAAATATTGCCAAGCAGTTGGTCATCTAGTAGGTACCTGTTGAGGTGTAGGTACCTGTTGAGGTGTTATCAGACTCCCAGGTGTCTTTGTCAGTCTAACCCGTCTGGGCTGGTTCTCACATCACTCTTGGTAACTTCAGTTGAGGGAACCTCTGAGAGGTTCTAGCTGCCCAGATGTTCCTCTACTGTTAGAGACTGTTAACCCAGATGCTCCCCCACCCCAGAACTCTAGCCAGAAAGCTTTAGATTTTCTACTTCAGAAAATCTCAGATTTGTGAGAGCTAAAGTGGGCCCTGAATTGAACAAGTAACCCTGTCCTTAGATTAGAAAACAAAATGCAGGGGAAACCTAAATGTTTTCATCAGGCATTTGAAAACTCTTTGTGTTTGAAAAGGTTACAATTTTGAACTGTGCTAACCTTTAGGAAGAACTGAGACTTTGAAGTAGAAGTGAAAGAGATGCACATTCGCTTCATTTGAGGAAATATTACTAGCAGCTAGAGCTGCCCAGTATTGCAGTGGGCTCCCTTTCTTACCATGGCAAGTATCAATCAAGACTCAGTTCCATAAGGCCGATGTCAGACAGTAAAGGTCAAAGTGAAAGTAACTCAGAAGTTGTCTCCAATACAGCCTTTGCGAAACTGAAATTGTTAATAAGGAAACTAGCTGCTGAAAATTTTTCTATATAGTTTACTAGCATGGCTATTCAATGCATCTTTGATTGTTTTCAGGTATTATTTTCCCACCTATGAAAATGACACTCTTCTGTGCACACTGTCTGACAGTGACAGTGACCTGACAGCTCAGCAACAAAATGAAAATGTTCCCGTCATCTGTGAAGACACATCGAAACTGCGTGCTTTGAAACAAAACAGTATTTTGAACCAATTGCCACTACAGGAGTGCTTGGAAAACTAGAAGGAACTGCTACAGAAGCAGTTTTTCATGCTTTTCTCCTCTGAGATGGATAGGAAAGACCAGTTTAAATTTGAATATCAGCAGATTATTCATTCTTGGTGAAATAGCTTTTTTAATGGATGGGTGTTTTTTCAAGAAATAAGGTAAAAACATAAAATGAGGACTTTTTATATTTTGGCTATCAAATTTTATTGCAATCGCCTTAAATTATTTCATTTCATTAGTCAAAATTGTCTGTAATAAGAATATGTAAGCCACAAAGAAATGTAACCAATTGTTTCAGTCTCTTTCCCACAAGCCTCCCTCCTCCAACAAGTCACATATTTGGCAATGTGATTCTTGTCTTATGTGGACAAACTATAAATACCGTGACAAAAAAAGACCCACAGAAGAAAGGAAAAATGATCAAAGATTCTACATTATGCACAAATGTGACATTTCTAGAATAATCAGAACTGGTTATATTGTCATTACTGCTTTCTTTCTAGAGTTGCCAAAATGGACATCAGTGTAATTAAGTTCACTTTTACCTGAAAAAAAAAAGTATACACACACACACATATATATATACTTTTATACATATATATATATATACACTTTTATATACACATATATATGTATATATACTTTAGTACATATATACTGTATGTACTATAATAGTATATATATACATATACTGTTACTGTCACTAATAAGAACCACTGTTTAAAAATATAACCATAATACCATTATGATACATAGCAAAATTAACAATAACTTCCTACTAATCTATTTTCATTCTTCTTCAGGTTGTTTCAAAAATTTCTTTTTATACCTGATGTGGTGATGCAAAGCTGTAATCCCAGCTACTAGGGAGGTAAAGATAGGAGCATCATGGTTTGAGGCCAACCTGGGCAAGAAAGTTAGTGAGAGCCTCTCCAAAAATTAAAAAAGCTGGCCATGTGGTGCATGCCTATAATCCCAGCTACTCCCAAGATGGAACCAGGAGTATTGAAGTCCAAGGGCAGCCCTAGGCAAAAGCTCAAGACCCTATCTGAAAAATAAAGTAGAGCAATAGGGCTCAAGTGTGGCTCAAGTTGTAGAGCTCCTGCCTCACAAGCAAGAGGCCCTGAGTTCAAGTCCTAGTACCACCAAAAAAAATGTCTTTTTATAATATTACCAGTTGTGGGACCGATACGTACCTTCTCATAAGATGCACTGAAGAGGACAAAACATTTCTTTTCTGGATTTCTACCAAAAATGCATAATGTAGATGTCTTTAAAAAAAAAAAATCAGTCAAACGTAAGTTGAGAAACAGTCTATAAAATAATTGGCCATTACTCTTCAGAAATGTCAAGGCCATAAAAACAAAGACTGAAAAACTGTTCCAGATTGAAGAGAGCGAAGTATAGCATGATGAGTGGGTGGATGCAGGGTTGACCATGAAATAAGAGTTTTCCTTTTGCTGTGTAAAACAGTGGGACAGTTGGCAAAATTGAGTAAGGTCCATGGCAAATGTTTTGGCATTGGTAATAATTTCAGATTTTGATGACTGTACTGTGGTTATGAATGAGAAGGTACTTGTTTCTAGGAAATGCACCCTGAAGTGTTTAGGGGGAAAGAAGCAATCTGTTTGCAACCTACTCTCAGAAAACTAACATGGATACAGAGAGACTGACAAAGTCAACATGGTCAGGCATTAACACATGAAGGGGGCCATGGGATTTCTTGGCACTGTGCCAACTTTTGTCTGAAATTGAAAGTTTTTCATAATTAAAAAGGTTTCAAATGTCTTTTTACAGTTGGTTTGTTGAACCAGGTTCCAAGTAAGATCTATACATTATGTTTAATGTGATTCTTTAAGAGTCTTATAACCTGTAATAGCTCACATTTCCTTTTTTTTTTATAATACCACTTCTTTGTTAATGAAACTGATCCTTTGTCTCACTTTGTAAACTTGGATGGTTGTATCCTCTTTGTTTCATTCACCATGTTCCTCTGTCATGCATTTTTCCTGAAAGCTGGTAGATCTAGAAGATTCATTAAGTTCATATTCAAAAAGGTTTTACAAGAACATTTCATAGGAGGTAGTGTATATTCCCTGTTATATTACATCAGGCCCATAATGTCTGAGGTACCACTTTTAGAGATGCCACAGTTGTTCAGGTCCAGTGGTTCCTGCCTGTAGTATCAGCTATAAAAGACACTGAGGCAGGAGGATCTCTTGAACCCAGGATCTTGAGACCAACCTGGGCATCACAGTGAGATCCCATCTCAGAAAATAACAATAATAATAATAATTGCTCGGGGCATTCAGCTGTTGTCAGGCTGATACACCATAAAGTTCCCCATTAGTTTGTCATCTATCCATTGTTTCCACTGGTAATTGTTACCTAGATCTATTTTGTGCTATATAGCACTGGATTCTGGGCTTCTACTTTTCAGTTGTTAATGCCAGCCTATGTGGACAGTGCCCCAGAACTGAAAGGGTCTTGTGGCCCATTCAGAGACTCAAGAGTCACCTTTTCCCACCGTATGATCCTAAATTGCCTAGACTTGTAAGTTCCATCTCCTCTGACTGTGGCTTCAGGTTTCCAGTAATTCAGTTCTGCAGACACTCATGGAAAACTTTTTCTTGAAAACTAAGCATACATGATAAGGTGCCCTTATCATGAAATATGCTTAAGTGAAAAAAAATTAAGTTAAATTGCTTTAAAACTAAAGGTTAAAAAGGCAATTAGTCCTGTGCTTAGAACACTGTGTTTCTAGGGAACAGATTTGTTCAGGAAATCAAGGAATGTCTGGAGTGTTTTCTAGCAGAAGAATGTGATAAAGTAGACCAGAAATAACAAGCTTCAGAAAGAAAAAGCTTTTTTGGAAATAAAATTGATTCCTTAGGGAACAAATCAGATATAAAAGGAAAAGTGAAATGTAAGAATAGACCAACAGATAAAAGGGAAAAGATGATGTACTTAAGGCTTAATCCACTGACAAAGTCAGTGGATTGTTTTGAGCGGGTAGATGTTTGGGGGTTATTTTTATGAGAGACATGGTAACTTGAACCTAACGAAATTGAATATGAAAGCCAACTCAGCAAACCACAGTGACTCTCTCAGGGGAAACAAGAATATATATATATATATATAGAGAGAGAGAGAGAGAGAGAGAGAGAGACTCTTTGGTAAGAATACTGGGGAACTCAGTATTCTTTTGGGGACGATAGCACCAAAAGAGGGAATGATCAGCCTGAAAAAGCAAACTGTTCGAGGAATTAGTTCCCAGATGTCCCTCAAATTATAGAATAGGGACACAAGTGCTGCCTGTGCCCAGAGGAAACACACTTGATAAATTTTTAGAATTAAGACTCAAAGTGAATACCACAAGAAAGGTATTCATTCATGTAACAGAAGAGAGCTAGACAGAACTGTGGAAAATGAGATCCAAGCCTGAATCAGCTGTTAAGTCCCATGAGAATGTACATGCCAGTTAGGATTATCTAACTCCAAAAGGTGAATGAGGCCACAATTTTTTGAACAATGGTTGCTTTTGTTCACAGCAGAACCTAATGACTTCTCCTTCATAAAGGAAGGCCCCATTATAATAAATCTAGAGCAAAATGTTAGGTAATATATCTGGGTCAGAAAAGATTGTTAAATAAAAGCCATTAGATCCTACAAGTAGTGTTTGGCCTGTATATGTTAAGGAAGGAAAGAATTCAACTTAAAAAGTCAGTTATATTCAGCCATTTCTTCACAAAAGGTATAGCAGGAAGTCAAGCACTGAGAGACATCACTGTTGCTGAAAAAGGTGGAGCAGAGCAACAGCTGGGCAGGTAGACCAGTCAAAGTCCAGGGACCATACCGTGCTAAGGAGGCCTGGGCAGAAGCTTCTGTCCTCACCAGGTCCCAGTGCCACTGCACTGTAGTCCAGTTGCCCCCCAATATTCATTCTCCCTTTCTTTAATAATAAATAAATACAATGTTTAGGTGGGTATGTGGCTGCCTAGAATGAAATAAAGACTACTTTTTTCCACCTCTCCTGCAGTTCAGAATACTCATGAGTTTATTTTTGTTTTTTGGGTTTGGGGTGGGGGTGCTGAAGATTGAACAAAGGTTTCAAGCATGCTGACCATGGCTGGTCACATTGCTGCAGCCTCTCCCTACTCACAAGTCTGACTTGTAGCAAATGAGATGTAAGCAGGAAGTCTCTGTAAATAGCTTCCAAGGGTCTCCATGATGATATTGGACACAAGCACCCTGTACGTTCTTTCCATCCCTTCCTACTTCCTGTTTCATGGGACAGTGAGGTCAAAGCCATACATGGTAGTGCAACAATGTCAGAGGAATCTGGATCCCTAAAACAAGGACTGCACTAGCACATTTATGAGGGAAAGCAGGAGGGAAGAAGGGAAGAAGGGAGGGAGGGAGTGAGGGAAGGAGGGAAGGAAGGAAGAAAAGAAAGTTCTACCTATCCTTTTACTTTGGGTTTTCTGTCATTCATAGTCAAACCTAATCCTAACTAATAAACCTAGAGAATTGTGCTACAGAAACATCAATAGCTGTGTTGGTTCAGTAATTTGCTGAGGATGCTTTCCAGCTGAAACAAATGAGGAGATAAAGTCATCCTTAAAAGACAGGCTTCACAAGCATGAGTCTGTTTGGTGTGCTATCACAATACCTCAGGCTGAGTAGTTTGTAATAAAAAGAATTTATTTGGCTTATGATTCTGGAAGCTGGGAAATCCAGGATTAAGTTCTCTTTTGGTGAGAACTTTCTTGCTACATTACAACATGGTGGAAGGCATCACATGGATGACAGAGACAAAGACAGGTAGACAAAGGAGGTCAAACTCAACCTTCTATCAGGAACCCATTCTTGTTATACTAGCCCACTCAGGTGAAAATAGCATTAATTCATTCAAGAGGACATGACATTCTCAGGCTCAACTTACATTGTGTTTTGTGTCTAACACATGAACTTTGGGGTAAACTTTTAAGCCATTGCACTAATCAGTTCCACAACAGAAGGCAATGGCAGGAACCATTGTGGCAAAAAAAAAAAAAAAACAGGAAAAGTGTTGAAACCAAGTCATAATGTAGAGCACAGATTCCATGGGTCAGGGTTGTTAAAAGAGGACTACGAGGAAAGATGAAAGTCAACAGGTTGATGTTGCTTTATTTTGTTCTGTTTTTATTTTGCAGTGCTGGGGATCAAACCCAGGGCACACAAGTCAAGCACTCTACCACTAAGCTGCATCTGAATGTTGTGTTTTTAAGATGCAGAATGGGAAAGTCAGACCTTGTAACTGGGCTTACCATCATTGCCTATTTCTAAATTTTGGAAGAATATAAGTGTCTCTGGCCTCGACCTAAGAGAAATATGTGTGGATTCTTCCCACAGAAATGGTAAAAGCATATTAACTTCTTGAGGGATTTTTCATCCCAATTAAGTTTAGAGATAAGGATTTCAGATAACACACAGAGGGGCTGTCATGCTGAGGGAGCTGAAATCAGGGTCACTGAATCTCTGTTAGGGAAAGTGCAGTGTTCTGGGAGAT